ATATATATATATATTTCTTGTTTGTTTTTGATGAAGGTTGCTGGGATTAAGGGGATTAGAGTGATTATGGGAGCAGCTAAGATGAGAGGGGCTCAGTTTTCCGCAACACTAAATTCTAGAAAGTACTTTAACCTCTTACTGTAGCAAGCAGACTCCTGTGGGGACCCTGTGCTGGGAAAGGGCCCCAGAAGTCTTCACTGTTTGCTGCCACACTGTCTCTAGTATCTTTAGAGGAGGGAGGCCTGCCAGAGGGAGCAAGGAAACTTCAAAAACCTGTCATTCCTGGTGTTATTTTTGAAAGGCTCTCTCTGATTGTGCTTTTTTTCCCCTTTTTTAAAGTTTGAGAAACTTTTTAAGCTCTGCAAAAGGGGACAAAGATTAATTACATTGCAGTGTGGAAACTCCCTTGAGTGGCAGTATTGAGCAGTATATGTATAAAGCGTGAGTTTGCGTTTCACAATATTAGCCAGTACCAGCTTCGGTAAGGCTAGCAGTTCTGGGGCTTCATTTTTGTGGGTCACTTCCTGTACTGTGTAAGTGTGTTGCCCTCTGCCCACTTTGATACGTAAACTTGCAGGAACGGGCAACCCTGAGAGCTGCTGCTTGCCATGCTTTAGCTTTGTGACGAGAATTGTCATGTTTGCATTGTAAATTGCTGGCAAATGCTTTACAGTCAATAGTGTTGCATTAAATTGTGCCTCTCCCAACATGCTTGATGTTTGGCCTGATCTCCAGGCAAAAGGAGTGAGATGAATCAAAACCAGTGAACTTTTTTTAAAAAACGTTTTTAATTCCCTTTTAACCCAGTGTACTAGGTCAATCAGGAGGCATCTAGGGTTTAAAAAAAAAAAAAGGCAAAATAAAAATTTTTTTATTTGATTTCCATATTCCATTGTTTTTCAAAGCCCTAAAATAGTACAAGTCCTGCCTATGTTTTCATGCTTAACTCATCTGGATAAAGAAATCAGTTACTCAAAGTTTCTTTTTTGACTCTGTCTAGTTCTAAACAAAAATGATTTGTGACTCACACAGAATTCCCTGAAGATCAAAATCCTGCAGATGCCTCCTGATCAGACATAGCCCTAACTCCTTAGAAACTAGCAAGAGCTGCACAGTACAAACCCCCCAAAATAAGCTCATTTATTTGGCATCCACGCCACATAGGTTCTTCTACCAGCCATTGTTGGCAACTAAGTACAAGCCCTAGTTAAGGGAGTAACTTTTTTTCCAGGGAGGGGTGGAGGGAGGGAATTTAAAAGGCATCAACTTTTGACCAAAAAAATATATATATATAAATATATATATATCTTACTGTGTACTGATGCAGCTCTCTCTTTCCTCCCCATCTCTGGCAAGATAAGAGGGATCATTCTAGAAGAAAAGCAAGAAAGCTCATAAATGCAGTTTTATATCTCGCTAGAGTGCGGGTGACTATAAACAGCACAGTCCTCTCTGCCATCCTCAGACTGTCTGCTTGGTGCCACGTGCCTGTGGGTCCCTCTTAAAGCACAGACGTTAAATTGAAAGTATTCCTGAAGTACAGCCTCGGATGAGGAGTGGCACTTAAACTGTCTGGGACACTGGGATTGGACACGGCCTTGTGCGGGCAGCTGTCCAGTTTTGGTGCTTGACTCTTGAATAGGAATTGTAAAACGGAAAGATGCTCTAAGGCAGCGGTCACCAACCAGTGGTCCGTGAGGTCCGAAAGGTTGGCGACCGCTGCTCTAAGACTAGGTCAAATCCTAGTCTCTTTTTCTTTTTAAATCCCCTTCGCAATAAGGAGCATTTGTTACTATTGGAAGTTGTTTTCGTGTTCTTCCGGTATAGGGTGTTTATTTTAAGTCATGGTGATATTTTTTCCAATGGTTCATTTGGATGAAAACTATTCCCTCTTTTTAATACTTAAATAACGTCAGCCCATTGTTCAGCCTGTGGTTATGTGGTTGTGTGATGGTTATGGACCGTTGCACACCTTGCTGCCTCTGGGCCTGTTTTGCCTTTCCTTTAGGATTGGACTAAATTCCAAAATTATCTTCCATGGGAAGAAGTAAAGGAGAGAGAAATCTAAATATGTCTCTAAATTGTCCAGTTTGCCCTGCACCATAATACAGGGGGCCCCAAAGGCGGGGGGTGGGGGCGGGCGGTTATCAGTATTTGTTTTCAGAATGAGATGGGAGCATCTTTCCTCTGCCGTGTGCTTTGTGTTTGATACCATCATGCTTGGGTCAGAACCAGACGACTCAGCACAAAGCCTGGAGTGTAAACTGTTGGAATCAAACATCTCATTCTGATCACTTGGCTTAATTTTTTTTCTTTTTTTTTTTATAGGGGTGGGAGGGAGGTGACTGCCCCAAAGGGAGGGTGTCTGCACTGAGGATTTAGAAACACTCTGAAGCTCATAGCCTCGTCAGAAGTTGCCTTTAGCCACACTCTGACCTTATGGATGAGTAACACAAAGATGAAGTAAATTCTTGGGAATTAAGCCATGTTATTTTAATTTGCCACTTTGTTCAGCGTTGTATGTATCTTAAAAATTGTTATTGTGAAATCATTTTCTGGCAAAATATCTTTGTCAAACAAAATTATAGGCCTAGTGGGAGTTGATGTTAGTCAACTTTTTGGTGAACTTAAGTGAACTTGAGTGAGCTTGTGGTTCTACTGTATATCCTTAAAGATAGTTTTTAAAGCTCCCAAAGAAAGTCTACTCCTGACCTAAAAACTCATCTTTGGGGTAAAGAGTTAAGGGTCCAAAGGCTATAGCAGTTCATGAGGTCAGAGGGAGCCAGCCTGGCATGGACTCTGCCCCTCCACAGCTGACAGGTTCCAACAGGAAGTGTATTTAAATTCTCTGTAGACAATGCTGGGCAGGGGAGGGGAGGGTTGGGTTATGAAGATACAGGCTACTGTGTTTTAACCAGTGGTTGTGGGGAGGGGTGCCTGGAGGAAACAAAGTCACTATTCCCTTTTTGAAACAAAACTAAAACCTGAAAATTTTTGTTCAATGAAAATGGGGTCTAATTTCATTGTCCCTAGCCACAAGGGACCAGTTCCACTGAGAAATGAACAGTGGGGACTCAAAATTTTGCAAACATTTGGGGGAAGGGACAATTGGCTTTCTGTTAATTGGCAAATGTTCCAATGGGGCTTCCTTTTTGTTGGGGGGTGTTATGTTGTAGGTGCACATGTGGACCAGAGTCTGCTGAGGTTATAAAGTTCAGAAAAGATGGTTGATAAAATCTTGGCTTTTGTTAATGTATCTCAATAAAGCCCACTGGAACTCCAGCTGTGTGTGTGGTGCGTTCTTCAGCGGAGGCTGTGCGCTACAGTGATTCCTATTGAGCTGAGGCAGTGCGGAGCCCGTTGAATAAAATCTGATGCCTTCATCCAGCCCAGTTAGACACTGTACAGCATCCACATTTCATTTGGTCAATTTTTATAGCCTAAACCGAACCAAGAATCATTTGGAAAGAAAAGATGTTGGTCTACAAGGTGTCATCACTTCCCAGAACTTACCAGGTGTTTCAGTAACACAAACATGCCCACAAAACTTACTTAGGAATAAATCTAGTGACGAGTGTCATTTGTGTGCTAAGAACTACAAAACACTGAGGGAAGAAAAGACCTAAATGAGAAATTCAGACAAAACTAAATATGACACCCCCGCCCCCAAAGAAATACTTTCGTGGGGCAAAACTTTTTTTAAAATTTTTTAAATATATTTTTTATTTCAGAGAGGAAGGGAGAGATAGAAACATCAATGATGAGAGAGAATCATGGGTCGGCTGGCTCCCACACACCCCCTACTGGGGATCGAGCCCACAACCCAGGCATGTGCCCCTGACCGGAATCGAACCTGGGACCCTTCAGTCCACAGGCAGACACTATATCCACCGAGCCAAACCGGCTAGGGCAAAACTTTTATTTTTTTAAATATATATATATTTTTAAATATAGTTTATTGATTTTTTTTACAGAGAGGAAGGGAGAGGAATAGAGAGTTAGAAACATCGATGAGAGAGAAACATTGATCAGCTGCCTTCTGCACACTCCCCACTGGGGATGTGGCCGCAACCAAGGTACATGCCCTTGACTGGAATCGAACCTGGGACCCTTGAGTCCGCAGGCCGACGCTCTATCCACTGAGCCAAACTGGCTGGGGCAAGCATTTTTTTTTTAGAGAAAAAGGGGGATAGGCCCCAACCTGGGTTTGTGCCTTGACTAGGAATTGAACCAGCAACTTTTCAGTGCATGGGATGACACCCAACCAAATGGGCCAGGGTGCAAAAACAGTTTATTTTTGTATTATATATTAATTACTGTATTTCCATATGAACAACTGTAAACCTACTTTTGCCACACTCTCTGTGCAAGACTTAATCTAATTACAGACTGTACTGGGGATTTCTTTGCCTTGGGATCTTTTTCCCCCTCCGCTCACTTGGGTTTTCCTACACATCTCCCTTTGTAAATAGGGCATATGGAAATAAACTCCCCTCAGATTCCCTCCTTTTACAAGTGTGCCCTCTGTTTTGTGTTGGGACTCGGACAGTAATTGAGACCAGAAGTGACCTCAGGAAATAGATTCTTAGACTAAGATTCTGGGATTGGGTAATATTTGATGAGATCAATGATAGCCTATGGGGATTGGTGAAGGGGAGGCAGGGAATATGGGACATGAGTAACCCA